ACCACCCCCATATCTGTGCCTCAGGACCATTAAGTGCTTACTTTCTTTTAACTCATCAAAGTAAAAGAGCTGTGGAAATTAATGGACTTGCAGGAAAAGATTCCATGCTGAAAAGATGCCATTGTGGTGTGACTTGATCTTCAAGCACTGAGTATAATGAAACCATCATTCCAGAACCCGAGAGCACTGGGAAAAAGAGATGAGGCCAAGATTTCATTTTCTGTTCCGTGATTAAAAAGGAAGCAGATGCATTCCTTTAGATACGGGTATATTACAGTGCTCTCATTTGGGAGGGTCAGTTCCAAAGGGCTTGTCCCCGAGATGTTAGGGGGTCTGGGGGTCTGGAGTATAATTAATCTCCCTCCATTGGACCTCTAGTAGCTCTAGTGCTGGTTAATGGTCATTGTCAACTTGATTGGGTGAAGAGAGTCCTGGAAAGGCGATTAGGTGATAAGTTGACTTCACCAATGGGTTAACCCATCCACAAATGGCTGTTCACAAATGGGCTATTCAGAGGCCAGGACTAATTAGAGGAAGTGGGGTGGTGACTATACCACATCTACGGTTCCTTCCGGTCTGCCTCTTCGCTCTGCTTCTCAGATGCCATGAGTCGAGCAGTTTTCCTCCTCCTACCCTGCTACTCTGATTTTTCTACATTGGAGCCAGCAGACCATCGCATGACACCTCTCCAACTGTGAGTTAAACCCTTTCCTTTGTGGGTGTCAGGTATTTTGTCCCAGCTATTTTGTCCCAGCAATGGGAAAACTGACTCAGACACACCATTATAATTCCAATGAAATGAAAATAAACTCAGTACCACGAAATTAGCTTTATTGTGTTTGCTGTTGTTTCACTGGTTACAGTGATTCCATATACCAAAGAAGAAAAGGGACAGAGACGCCTAAATTAAGAAGTGCTTTGACAAATACGTGCGAACTCTTAGAATATTAAAGGACACATTTCAAGCTGGTGGGTCCTGGTGTTCTGGTGCTCAGAGTGGACAGGTGCGCACATAGCCTCTCAACTCTTAGTGGGGTGGGGTTTCCAATGTGCACCTGGAGAAGCACAGACCTCTGTTGTGGCAAGGCAAGTCCAGGCCTAAGACCAGTTTAAAATCCAGAGGGAAGCAGGGACATCTGTCTCAGGGCACGGTGTGGAAGTCAGATGTCATTCTACACGCAGCCAGACGGTGAAGTCCGACCAGGGTTTTGGTTAAGTGCACACTGCCAGGAGGTCATTTGTCCACAAAAGCTGCATGTCATTTGGGATTTCCATTCCCACTACATTCCTGTGAATTCCGTTAAGTAGTGTCTTGGAGAAGGCGCTCTTGGAATGGAGAGTCTGTTTTCCGAAGCCTTCTTTTTGTAACTTACAATTCCATGACACCCTACAGAAATAATTCCTCAAAAATAGATCCGAGCTGGCTGCTCTCCCGCCTCCCCCTTCTGCCTGCCAGCTGATCCGCGTGTGAGCACAAGCACAGCTTCCTTTTGTGACCCGGAGGCTTGTTTTTGTAAAAAGTCCCCGATCCAGTCACACTTCCTGTGACAATTTGGTTTAATACAACATCCTTACTCCTAAGAAGTGATTGCAGATGAAAGGATACAGTTAACCGACAGTGAAGGAAACAGTGTGTTTTCTTTGAACTTTCCTCTCATCAGTTTCTTGGAAGCGCTTTTTCATAAAATGAAGTAAATTTGTCATAATAGCAATACAAGGAATAAGCCACACATTTCTTAACTCAGAAGAGTGAAATTAGATATCCCAAGAGGGTGGGAAGCCATATACTATACAAGGTTTGTCCTTGGATCCACAGTCAACAGCTAAAGACTATATCACGTGACTTGAGATACTAAACAAAGAGAACACAAGGCAGGCTTTGGGAATGAGTATTCTTTGATTTTGTCCCTCTAATGCTGGTGAGGAAAACAAAACCATCAGCCCAATTGTGAAGCTGGGGCTGGAGAGCCTGGGCCCCCCAATCCCCTCCACACCATGAAAAGGGCAACTTTGAGCCCATGCTTGGGGTGGAAGGGGGAGGCAGAGAAGACCTGTCCAGTAGGCAAGCTCAGAGAGCATTAGGAGCTCTCCTGTGAGGAGTCACAGACTGGTCCCAGGTCAGGCTGCTTTTTACGTTTGCCAACTGAACAAACGTTTTTCTGTGTGTGTGTGTGTGTGTGTGTGTGTTGGTGGGAGGGCTTTCTCTGCTACTAGTTGTATCAATTCTATAACCCCTCTATAAAGGGATGTACATTTCACTTTTGCAAATGAGCACAGTTTGGCCAGGAGGGGTGGTACGCGCCTTTAATCCCAGCACTCGAGGCAGAAGGATCTCTGAGTTTGAGACCAGTCCGGGCTACGTAGTGAGTCCCAGGTCAGTCTCGACAAAACAAAACAAAACAACAACAACAAAAAATGAGCACAGTTTGGGATTATGTGGTCACTCTCCCTAGGTTTGTCATTTGGGGCAAATCAATATGTAAGACTTCCGATTAACTTTAAAGATTTTCCTGATGACCTGGGCAGTGTTATAATGCTTTGAAAGAAGTCAGCTGCGGGACGATCAAGAGCCCACTCTAACCAAATCCACACAGGACAGAGGACGAAAGGCACTAAACTGTGCCCATGTCCTGCAGGAGCAGGCTGGCCAGTGTCCCGCACTCTCTGGGTTGCATTCACTGCTCCCATATGGTCAGCTGCTACATGTGGTGACATCCGTGGCTTTCCAACTCACGTGTCATGTGTGGCCTCTGACTTTCACCATCTTTTTTATAACTTTACTAGCAGTTAACCATCAGCTCCACTCAGCTGCCTTCTCCCTTTTCTCCCTACTGCAACTCTCCACCACACACACACACTTACACACACACACACACACACACACACTGTACCACCTGAAAAATAGAAAGTCTTGGCATCAATGTTTTGATATCCAAATGTCTGCAGCTTCTAGTTTGGATTGGTTATGTTTTCACTCATCAGATTATTTGGCCTGACAGAATGGGCAGCAAAGGCAAGGTAACAGTTGTCCGAGGGTGAGTTAAGTGGAAGGCAGTGGAGTTCACTGGGGGACCAGGCAGGATGGGGATGGAGGGACCTGGTTGGAGCTTTATTTTTGCCTCACGTTTCTTTTTCCACTAAGTATTTAGTGGAAAATCTTTGGTAAAAAAGTTGGATTTGCCCCGCCAGTGTTTCTGAAAATCTAGGAAAATCACTTCTACTGGGACGCCAGAGGAATATGACAGTAGTTTATTGTAACATAAGATCGAATAACTAAGTTTTCCTCTACAATTTCCTCTGGGAGAAATCCCTTCACATGAAAATCTGGGAGCTCCAAGATTACCTTGTGTTTCTTATACTTTTCTTACTGCTTTCCTTACTCTAAAGATAAAGATTTTGTTTCAAATATCCTTGAAAAAATAAGCAAAACAACAGCTAAAACAGAGTTACTGAGAAATACTAATGCCTCAAGCAGTTAAGTAACTCCTTTATTCTTTAAAATTCCAGCCAAGTTTCAGCAATACCATTTCATTGCAAACTGTAGCTATGCAGACTTGGGCTGTGAGTCACCCTAGAAAAAGATGAAATGAGTAGCTGTGACCTGGGTGTGAAATGCTAAGCCTGGCCTTCAGTGTAAGACTTGCCAGGGAAGGCTACTGAATGCACCTTGCACCCACCCAGAGTCAAGTAATCTGCTGCTGGATTAAAAGTGCACACCACACAATGTGGAAAGCAAGACTTGAAATAGCTTTACCTTTCATTTATTAAAAAAATCACAGCTGGGGATTTAGCTCAGCGGTTCGGTGGCCTGCCTTGCAAGTGCAAGGACCCGAGTTCAAAGCCCGGTATAAAAAAAAAAAAAAATCACAGTATGGAAAGCTATGAAAAAATAACTTCCATTGAAAACTAATTTTTAAAAGTTGTGAAGAACAAAAAGAAGTTGAGTGAGAACGAAGGCCATGATTGACAATGTCTTTTTCACACCACGTGTTCAAATTTCCGACCCTTTCACCGTAACGACATACAGATCCGAGATCCAGGCGATCCTTTACTGAGAGACCACGGCGAAGGCCTTTGCCTTCTCTTTTTTCTTTTGCTTTTCTTTTCTTTGCTTCTTCCCTCTGGTTATTACATACTCACAGAGGATCTAACCAAGGAGGACTCATCCCAGAGCAGAAGTACCCCTTTTACCATGCTGGAGTAGAAAGGCCACTTTTAAAATACATCTCAATTAACATTTCAGTAATATTGAAATCGCAGCCCATTGAAATTAAAAATTCAGTTCAAATAAACATCAAAATGTTTGTTTAAATGTATCTAAATATTTGGTTCACTGATAATGGTATTTTTCACCATTCACTGGTTATTGCAGATTTCTGGATAACCTACACTGTATTGTAATTTTTCTTTCAGTGAAAAAGAGAACCAGTGTGTGTGTGACCATTAAGCTGGGCTGTCAACTTGACTGACTTGACAGCTGCTAGGAGATGAGTAAAGACCACACTGGGTGTGTCTGAGTGGGTTATGGATGTGTGACTTTGGGTACTGGATCTGTTCCCTGAGCAACTTTGCTCTGCCGTACCTTCTGCTGTGATGTTCCTCACCTGGAACCAACTGACCATGGACTAAACCTCTGAAGCCATGAGCCAAACTAAAACTCTTCTCCTTTAAGTTGTGAGTGACAGGTATTGTGTCTTAGCAATGGGAAAGCTGACCAATACAGTGTGATGCCTACACCCAACCCACAGGTAGCTCATTGTGAAGATCATGCTTGTCCTGGTATATGAGGACACTGGCTACCAGGTGCCATGTTAGTCCTGTGTTATTTTATTGAGTGAGACTTGGATCACAGATCACACTGACTAACTCCTCTAAAGTTTCTGTTTTCCCAATGGAGCACAACATTTTTATATAGTCTCACTGAGAAGACCAAATGTATTGGACATGTTTCAAAATACAAAAGCCTTTCTGTGACAAAAAGACTCCATTAGTTTTACAGCTCCTTAGCTGGATATTTAGCATGACTGTCTTTTAATAAGTTTTAATACATTTGCTGCTACCTAAATCCTTTGCTATTATAGTAACACGAGAGCATTTTGCACAAAGTAACAACAGTCAAATGTATCTGGAAAGGGGGTAAGTTTCAAACTAGACATAACTTTAGAACTACTTCTTGTCTATTATGTTATAATTATGATTTATTGACTTATACAGTTATTGGTTTTCAAGACATTGCATAGTATAAAAGGTCAAGTTTTCCAAATCTGGCTAACTTTGATATGCAAGATAAACACACAAAAAGATTTCTGAATCTTACACTAAACTTTTGTACCACATACACTGTAGGTGAAGAAGATTCCTAATCTTGATTACATTCAAATTAGCATCGATGCAAATACTGTGAAAAAAATTAATAGTGCAACTGGAAAGCTGTAAACATGCTTGTGGCATTATTTTCCTGTCAATTATACCACAATGTACAATAAAAATAAGCAAGTATAATAACTAAAAGGGCTAATTTCTAACTATGCTGACATGTACTATTTTTTAAAGAATGGAGATCTAAAGCAATCTGTCATAAAGTTCATAACAGAAAAAAACTAAGTAAGGACAAAAACCCTCTTTCTCATAGATTGAGATTGTTCTTTAAACCGTTATACACTTTACCTCCATTATTCTTATGTGTACATTAGGACAGTTCAGTTCCAGCCCATCCATTTTATTTCTACATTTTCTGTTTAGAGGAAACACATTTGGAAATGTGGTAACATCACATGTGGCCATATGCACTGTAAAGCCGACCACCACTTCACCCAGTCTGAGTCCCGTCTATCACCTATTCCTCTGAGTCCCATTGTTCACATTTGTGTAGGACCAAACGCACTCTGGAGTCCTCACGGACTTCCTCCGTTCACCACAAATGCCTCTCATGGATGACTTCCATGATGATGCTTGAGAATCCTGGCATGCCAGGCAGGCCTGTATGTAAATGGGCTAGGCTCACGTGTGCACCTGTGCACACTGCTTACACAATCACAGTCATGTCCTGCTTAAGTGAATACACCGACCTGTCTTGGTTTGAATAAAATAAGCATTTGCCTTTGCACAGTTAGCCAATCTTAGCCCATTTATTCTCTCCTCCAAGAAATGTAGCTCACTAGAATAAATTTTGCAGGAGACAAAATGTTAGCTCCGACACTGAGCCATGTGAGGTGCTGTTTAAATACTGAGAGTGCTCTGTACATGTTATGAGATGATCACATTTTGGTCGTCTTGGGTACAAATTCCTTTACCTTCAGCTCCTTCTCTCTCCCAGTGGCACCACCCAACCTTATGAAGTGCAGAGCCTGGGCAGATTCCCTATGTCATCAGCAGTTTAACTTTCTTTGGCGGTAACTAACCGTGGAGCAGGTGCTTAGCATGCTGGAGAAATCCATTCCTCTCAAGGGCCCTGGTTTGCTTCTGGAATGTCAGTGGACAACTCAACACAGTTCCCTTGTGGGCCAGGAATTAAGGTAAGAAATGAAATGGCTGAAAGAAATATTGAACAACAGCAATGAACCTAAGACAGGGCGAGCCTGGAGGCCACGCGGACAGGCCCCCTCAGAGCCAGCTTTTCCCATGGATCAGAAAACGACTTTAAGAACACCGTGCAGAGCAGAGTTTCTCAAACTTTCATTTGTCCGCAAATCACTGGAGTTTTGCTAAGAGGTACGTGCTGGTTCTATATATCTGCCTGGCACCTGATCGTCTGTGTTACAAATAAACTCCTACATGATTCTGGGTAACCGATCTCTAAACCCCATTTTTTCATAGAAAAGGGCTAGTAAATCTCAACAACAACAACAGAAATCAATGGGAACAGTAGCATGAGGTTATGAACATTCTTGCATAACTGTTAATTCCGGATTTGATCAGTGTCACTCCATACAATTCAGCCCTATGGAAGAAAGGTAAAAATAGAATGACTATATGTGAGTAGGAGGCCCAATTTGGGACAAAAAAAGTTGGTTTTAAAGCAACTGAAAGCTCAACCACACTTCATCCTTTGACCATAATGCCTTAGATGCTTTGATTAAATAAATACATAATAACTGATATTCTTGAGTGGCAATGCATTTCCTTTCAATGAAACCTTGCTAAATGTCTATCCATCCCACAGGACATCTTGTCCCTCACCCCTCTGTCCCATTCTTCAGACGGCAGCTCTGTTTTAGAAAATGTGAAGGCTGAGAGGTCACTCTGGAGGGAGCGTTCTGCAGAAACCTTCTCAAATATGGAAGTGTTCGTTCAGCCCCCCTCAGGGGGGATCCACCGTGCACACCCACCAAGTTCTGTAGAGCCCAGGGGTGTCCACTCATTTCCTTTTGCACAGCTGCCACCCACTGGGTCTGCAGAGAGCGCCCAGGTGGAAACAGCCCTGGAGGAGGTGAGGCCAGGTGACACCCTGGTGTCACACGTTGCTCTGCTGTAACAAAAGGGTCCTCAGCTCTCGCTCCCTCTGATCCTCCTGCCTGTACTTCTCCTCAAGTTTCTGCTTCTCCGAATCTGCACAGTAAAAGGTGCAATCTGGGCTCTTGCGGATCTGCTCAAACTGGCTAAAGTCAGCCACATACTTTCCATTTTTGGAAAGAGAAACCATGGGCACAAACTCAAAACCCCAGTAGATTTCTTCTGGGATGTAGGATGTGCGGCTCTGACAGACAGCACTGGTAGATTCCACGGTGGCATTGAGGAGCACCACGAGCTCAAACTCCTTCTCCTTTAGGTTCTGGGGGGTGAGGTCCCTCAGAGGGCTTGTCTCATCCAGCACATGGTAGAACGTCATGGGCAGAATGAGGAAGGGGCTCTCGGAGGAGGAATCCACGTGGAACTTGACGGTGGCCTGGTTGAGGAGGATACGCTCCCCCTCCTTGGTAACATGGGTCTGGAGGAGCTTGCCCGAGAGCTGGCACTGAATCAGGAGGCTCTTCCTCATGTTGGCCACCTGGATCACCAGGCACAGCTTCCCATTCTGCTTGGTGATGACTGCGCAGTGACTGAACTTGATGGTCTCAGCCCGCTTTTTGGGTCTTGCGATTTTGGCCAGGAAGGTACCAGTGATGAAGATCTCAATTAAGGTGGTGATGACCAGCTGGGCCACCAAGAGGAAGATGGCATGAGGGCATTCCTCTGTGATGGAACGCACGCCATAGCCGATGGTGGTCTGAGATTCCAGGGAAAAGAGAAAGGCTCCCGTGAGAGAGTCCACTTTCATGATGCAGGGAGTGTGGTTGGAAATGGTCTCCCTGGGCTCTAGGTCCCCATGAATGAAAGCAATGGCATAGTAGATCACTCCAAAGAGGAACCAGGTCATCACGAACGTGGCAGCGAAGAGGGTGAGCTTGTATCTCCACTTCATGTCGATGACTGTGGTCCACAGGTCCTGCAGGTACAGTAAGTAGATGCCGTCCACCTTGTCGATTCTCACATTGCTGTGGCCACTCTTGGACATGACCCGGGGCCTGTGGGTCTTGAGGCCAGGCCCAGCTGTGTGTTGTATCAGGGGAGGCCGGGTCATGCTCACATGAATGGCGTCCATCGCCCGATTCTTGAGATCCCCTAGGAAAATGACAAAGACAGATGCTCTTTACCGTCTCGTGTGGTGGAACTCCAGAAAGCAGAAATGGAATGGCCAAGTGGGATGAGTGTGAATGCATGGTTATCAGCAGCCTGCAGGCCGTTGATCCCAGGCCCACTTGGGGACAGCAAAAGCCATGGATGGCCAAGTCCCTTACATCCAAACGATGTAAGTATCTGTACATAGCCTATACATGCCCTCCCACATAATTTAGGTCCCCTCTAGATTGCCCAAGGCAATGGAAAGGCTGCAGAATAGTTGTTACTGCCTGGTTTAGAAAATAATGACGAGACGTCCATAGTGCCCAGTACGGATGGGACACTTCCACCAGTATCTTCCATCCAGGGTTGGCTGCACATAGATGGCCCAGATGTGACGTGAGTGAGCAAGGAGAATGGTAAAGGTGAGACTAATTACTGTGTACCTGAGGCAGCCCATAGGGCAGTGTAAGGAACCCAGACTCCACAAAAAGGGAAACCTGGCTTAAAAGTGAAGTCAGCAGCTGATCGGCTGTGTGACCCGTGGCGAGTCATCTAACCTCTCTGGCCCTCAGCACCTTACTCTTTAAAATGGCAATGAATCCCACGTCTCAGGGTCTTGTGATGACAAACGACATGAAGACCCTAAACAGACCTTCATAAGCAAAAGACGATGTCATGTTTCGTGGAGACCACACTATTAACATGTACCTTAAAGTGTTGTCAATATTTATTTACATTCAGCTATGGTGATTGCCCATAACAGAAAATTTAGACACTGTGGGACCGAGCACAGATCCAGCACTGATACAATTAGAACCTACGACTCATCAGATAGTTCTTAATATAGCAACGGATAATATTAGTACAAGCTCTACAGATTTGAACGGTAGCAATGCATTTTGAGACCTACCATTTGCCTGACATTCTTTGTAACAATTAAACTCCCCCATCTAATGAATAACTTAGCATCTACAACCTCTCTTCCTTCCCAATGACATCGAAAATGATTCGGTGGTCAAACAAGCAAAACATACATACTCACAGCAAGTAATTACACTTTCGTAACGGCTCAATCAATGAAGCTGGCTATCCTTTAAAAAGTATGACCTGTGTCATTTTAGGAGTGACATTTAGGTAGGGCACAGAATCTTTGCCATGCTCTTTCTGTGCCAAACTCCAGCGTGGGGAATTTAGAGGGTAAATAAAGGAGGAAATCAGTGCAAGTGTGTACAGCCATAGCAGGGAGACCACTGAGAAACACGTTGAGCCTGAAAGTGCTCTGCCTGGGGCCACCAGCTGGGAACAGGCTGGCTCGGGGGCCACAGGGAGTCTTGCAGTACCTGCCTGCTGACCCTGCATTCCTTGAAGAAGACAATGTGATTGATTACAGGGTAACCTTACCTAGTTGGCCTGTTTTTTTCACTTCGAAGATATTTTAAGAGCTAAGAAGATGAAGTTTCTCCTCATTAAAAAGGGACTAATGTGCCCTTGCTTATGATTCATGCTGCAATGTTTTCTGTGCAAGAGGCATTACCTCCACAAAAGCTTTGAAAATAACCCACCTGGCAAACGAACGGGAACCGTACCCTCTGGGGGCCAGACCTGTGCAGGATGCAGAGGGCCCCTGGGCACTTGATTTTCCTGTTACCTTAAAGAGGGTGTGGCGTTCTCTAAATGCCCCCCTTGAAGAGACGTTTTTCCTGGGAAAATCACTTTTTCCTATGTGTGCCAGAGAAGGGCCATAGTGATTCAGAATTTCTTTTACACGCAGAAGCCTGTTCCAGTTTTCTGGGGACCCCTCTCAAAGGAAAGTGGGGTGGACCACTGGTGAGCAGCAGCCGTCCTCATCGTACCCTCGTGACACTTCTCAGTGTAACAGGTGGAAAACCAGCACAAGGGAGCTCCGGGAAGGACTTGCCGTGCACAGATGAGCCGGTAACACCAGCTCTGCCTGAGACCAACGCAACTTGAATACAAGTAACTGCACGCACTTGCTTTTGCTTTTTAAAGAAACTGCTGGGAAAGTCCATGCCATCCAATCCACTGAACTGAAAACAGAGGCTTAAGTTTTGGAGCATGAGTGATCCACAAGTGTCCCGTGGGCAGCTCTATCCCCTGCCAGCTGCAGGAAACTTGGCCTTGTTTCTGGGAAGGCAGGACCGTGCCGCTCCTGTTTCAACCTCTCTTTCAATGGGGCAGGGAGCCAGGCTTGGGATGAGCTGGATACAGCATCCTCTCTGCTGAGAGTGCTCGGGCCTGGGCCTGCACACTTAGTGCTGGGCACCGAGGCATCAATAATGCCGGCACAGAAGACCTCTGGCCTCTGTGTGTGTCGTGCACAGCATGTTTGGTGGAAGAGACCGGTGTCTCCTCTGCCTGCCTCCTTCCCTCTGACGCCCACCGCCCTCAGAAGGGTTAACTACCTGGGCACTCACTCCCTCGGCAGGTCAGGAGTCCTCTTCAGGACAGGTGGCAGGTCCTCGCTCCCCTTCACCCACCTGGCTACCATGGGACTCCGAGAGTGCCTGGAAGAGAGAAGGACACGAAGATTCACAGGTGGTTACTCAGAGCACCCAGAGACATTGGTCCCTAAGGGCTCTGGCTTGTGGCATTTACCTCTCTCCCTGGTCATCTGGCACCGTGCCTAGACCAGGATAAAGGCACCAGGAAAGTTCCAAGAATTAAAGCGAAGCCACACCACGGCCCTCACCATAGCACCCCTAGCCCTGGAGGGAACTCATTGGCAAACCAGCTGGAAAGAGAGGGTTAACCTGCCCCCAACCAGGGCAGGCCCAGGGAACTGGGCAGCAGCAGCAGCAGCAGCAGCAGCACAGGGAGGCAGGAAGGGGAAATGCAGAGGAAGTAAACAGTGAGCTCTGTGAGGGAAGAGTCTAGAATAGTTTTACCGCCTGTGGAAATGCATTAGTACTGTTGAGTCATCATTGTGGTCAACCGAGTTAGAGTGGAAAACTGTTAGACCCGTTCTGCCTGACACCCACCTCACACTGGAGGAGGAGGAGGAGGAAGACGGGGAGGAGGGGGAGGGG